CCAACCTCAGGAAGCATATAATTGGATGTAAGGCATTCGTCGCATGGAAGGCTGCAAAAGCATTAATAGGGAAGGGTAAACACACATTGTTAACCCCTGATGAAGAAGGCAATCTGACTCAGTATAAGGTATTTGCAGATGTTGCCAAAGAGGTGTCAAATGAGTTGATTGTACTAGCCAAAGTACCTTTGACTTTTATCGAAAGCCTGGCTTGGAGAAGCTTATGCTTAAAAGTTCAGCTGGCTACACCGGTTTGCAGAAAGACACCTAGAAAGGATATTGTGGTCATGTATGCATCAAAGAAAGCTCAAATAAAAAAAGTTCTTGGACAGAACAATCAAATGTTATCTCTGAGGATAGACATATGGGTTGCTCCGTACACTTCAGCAAGCTACATGGTGATCACTGCTCAATTTTTTTATGCAAGTTGGAAGCTTAGGAAGATGATAATAGGGTTCAAGAATATTGATGATCATAAAGGGTCTACAACTACATAAGTTATGATTGATTGTTTAACTGAATACGACATAAGAGTCTTTTGCATCACGGTGGATAATGCAACAACTAACACATCAGCTATGAAGAAGTTCAAGAAAGAATTTATGAGTCACAGTGAAGATGATCTGGTCTTGGATGGAGAATTCTTGCACGTCAGGTGTGCGACACATATCTTGAATCTGATTGTCAAGGAAGGCTTAAATGAGATCGATGATAGTATTATTGCCATTCAAAATGCTATTCAGTATGTGAGGTCTTCAACAAATCGTCTCAAGTCCTTCGAATTTTTGGTTGAAACTGGGAAGATGACTAGAGAAAATCTGCCATTAGATGTGAAGACCAGATGGAACTCGACATATCTCATGTTAGACCAAGCTTTGAAGTTCCAGCTAGCATTTAAGAAGATGGAGGCTGAAGATAAACGGTACAATGAATACTTCATGGAGATCGTATGTGGGAAAAAGAGGATTGGGCCACCATCAAAAACAGATTTGGAAGAGGTTGAGAGATTGGTACACTTTCTTATGATCTTTTACAATTCTACTTTGATACTCTCAGCTTCAAAATCCGTCACTTCACACAAGATCTACAATGAATTAGTCACCATCACTAGGAATGTTTGTAAGATAAGCAGCGCACCAAGTCCTGATGATTCATTAAGGTACAAAGCGTTGTCTATGATGGGGAAGTTAAGGAAATACTTGAATTTGTTTTATGAAGAAGATGAAGCTGGGAAGAGTAAGTCTAAGAGCTGTAAAATGAATAAACTCATGATAGTTGCAACAGTCTTTGACCCAAGAAAGAAAATGAATTTTGCTAACATCTACTTCAAAAAGTTGTATGATAAAAAAGCATCGAGTATACTTTGCTTTCTAATTCAGTTTCAGATATCTTGAAGTGTCCTTATGATGAGTACAGTCTTGTGTCTAGCAGAAGTGGTGGAGGGTCAGGTGGGTCACACTCTCAAGGAGGATCATCTTCTCAGACCCAAGATCAAGATGCTGGTGCAGTTTTTGAGTCAAGAAATCTTGGTAATGGTATTGGATATGAGAGAATGGATAACCTTACGAGGAGCTGATACAAGAAGCAGGTACAGAGGATTCTAGTAATGAGTTAGAATTGTATCTAAAAGAGAAAGTCGAGATTACAAATCCTGTGGTTAGAACCGAGTATGATGTTCTATCATGATGGAGAAGAAACAGTCTGAAGTTCCCAATCTTTTCACGAGTTTCTGCTGATATTCTTGTTGTTCAAGTATCATCTGTAGCATTACAGAGTGCCGTTTAGCACTAGTGGAAGAGTCCTGGACACATATAGCAGCTGCTTGACACACTTTATGGTTGAGGTGTTGGTTTGCACACAACAATGGTTGAAATCAGAGAAGCATATGAATGAGAAAGGTGTTCCTACTATTGAACAACTACTTGAAGCTGTAGAGTTAGAAGATGATCTCATGAGAGGTAAATTTTACTAGATTTGAACTCTTTTAATATTGTTTCTTCAAAGTTTAATTTGAAAATTGATGTTATTATATTTTTGTAGCTAATGAACCTTAATTCAACGCCCAAAAATTACCATAAACTTGAGTAAGGAGTGGCAGTGGCTGTCTCATTTGAAGTTCAAGAAGACTTTCTTTGTGTTGTGTGTTTGTTTCAGTTAAATAATTTTTCTTTGTGTTGTGTTTGTTTTTTTCTCATTTCCGGTGTGTTTTAGAAAACAATGTTTCATTTTCTATGTTTCTGAAACTATGTTTGCTTTCTCATTTGTTGTTTGAGTTCGGATAATTTGAGTATGTTTCGAAACTGAATGTTATCCATTTGTTTCGGGTCACCAAACGGGTAAAAAAATTTCAAACCGATCAGATCCGGAACCGTTAGGAACCGTTCCGAAACCGAACCGAAAGTATGTCATGTACTATTTGGGTACAACATCAATTTAGCCGATTGATCCGGAATCCAACGGATCCTATCCGAATACCCAAAATCGCAGACCTAATAAGAGATATGTGTTGCAGAGTTCAAATTAGAAGATCCAGGAAGTCAGTTGTGGGACATGAGATTAATGTAGTCTTTAGCTTGAGAGGAAAATGTGAGATATCAAACAAAACTATAAACTAAAAATTAAACAAACGAGAATCTAATATAAAAAGAGATGTACAATTATTATTACTACGAGACCTCAGATACGAAATGAACAATATCATACTAAGCTAACAATAGAGAGTACTCACACAAACTCAAGAGGGTTCTAATTGATAACTCTTTTCATTGACAACATAAAAGACTTCCTAATTCCAAAGTAGTGAATAGAGACGGCACAAATCAAATATTTTTTTGCTATTACGTGAACGTTTGGGTTCTAATTGGTAACTCTTTCCACTGACAACATAAAAGACTTCCTAATTCCAAATGTAAATAGAGACGGCAGAAATCAATTGTTTGTTGCTATTACGTGAACTTTTACTACGTTCTTAATCTATAGAGAAATTACCTATAATGACTCTAATCATACTAGAAATTACTAGACTAGCTCATATAAAATTGTAATTATTATAATGACACAAGATAAGATTAAATTTACTAAACCATCCTTCACTTGATTAACGAATAATTTTCCTTGTCAAATAATAAAGTATGTATTAAAACATAAACTAAGGTAAAATAGAAAGGGAAAGTTAAAAAGGAAAAAAAAGCGGCTCATTTTTATTTCTTCTCTCTCACGAGTCTTCTTCCCCGACGAAGACTTCTCCATCTCCAACGAATCCCATGAGTCCTTCTCCATCTCAGACGAAACCGACACCTCCATCTCCGGTTACAATCGTCACCTTTTTGCGACGCCTCCATCTCGTTATAACCGACGCCTCCATCCCACGACTCCTTCTCCATCTCTGACGCCTCCATCTCTGACGAAAATTGAGACTGTAAGTCTACAATCTATTCAATTCTGAGTTGTTTTTACACGCTTTTGACATAGATTGTTTGATTCAATGTTTAATTTAAGAAACCCTAATTCCCAATTTAAAACCCTTTTTGATTTTGAAATCAACAAATTGGTTTTGTTTAATTTCAGAAACCCTAATTCCCAATTTAAAACTCTTTTTGATTTTGAAATCAACAAATTGGTTTTGTTTAATTTCAGAAACCCTAATTCCCAATTTAAACCCCTTTTTGATTTTGAATCAACAAATTGGTTTTGTTTTTCGAAAACACAATGCGATTGAGGAAAACACAATCTATTTTTCTTTTTAAATCTTTTAATTTTTTTTTAAATCTTTGAATTAAACAAAACACAATCGAAAACACAATCTATTCAATTCTGAGTTCTTTTTACACGTTTTTAACAATCTGATTTTTTTAAAAATCTTTGAATTAAAGAAAACACAATCGAAAACACAATCTAATTTTTTTCATCCCTTATGTCATGCAAATTTCATCTAACTGAATGTAATTGATTTTTGTAGGTATGGCTTCTTCTTCTGGTATGAGAAAGTATCCTCCTCGTCTGTTCGAAGTTGGGAATACTCCAGTTCAGATTAGGAGCATGAACCATAATTGTCACTTGGCCAACGTTCAAACGGTGTTGGAAGCTGTTGGTGATGATGTTGTAGGTGAGTTGAGGGATTCTGCTATTGGAAGGATTGTCAAGCTGAAAGAGTTGAAGTACACTTGGTCTGCTTCTTGTGTTCACAATTTTCTCGCCAATCAATTGGCCATCGAGAGCAGCCATGAGATGTGGTCATTGATAGGCTGTATGCCGTTGCGGTTCTCTTTGAATGAGTTTGAAGAGATTACGGGGTTAAATTGTGATCATTTCGACATGAATGATGGTTTCGATGTGGATCATCAATCATTTTGGCTGGAAATGAATGTTCCCCTTTCGGAAGGACCTTCACTGAAAGAGCTAGAAGACATTTTTCCTATTTTCAGAAATTGGTCGCGGGAGAAGCGTGTAATGATTGGTTTACTGGGTCTGCTATCCATTGGGATCTTTGGTATTTCAAGGTACAGCAGAATCCCTTTGCATTGCTCTAAAAGAGTGATGGACCCGGCTGCTTTACAGCGTTATCCATGGGGCCGTGTGGGATTTGAAAGCCTTGTAACTTCGACAAAAATACTCACGTATGAAGAAAACTTACAGCTGCTTGCCAAACAAAGGCTGAAAACAGATAAAGGAGACATGTGCTTGGACGAGTTCCTCCGAGAAATCCTTGCTCCTGCCTTGGCTCATATTCACATGGGCCGACATGAAGACATTGATAGCAATATGGGGGGAAAGAAGACTTACACACTTCATGGATGTGTACATGCACTGTTAGTATGGATTTATGAGTCTGTCCCTGGTTTAGGAGAGAAATATGGGAATCAAATAGAAGGAGCGGATGTTCCTCTTCTATCATGGAGGGGATCTCACCCTTGTATCAACTTCTCAGATTTCATTGCGCAAGAAAAGAAAAAGCATCAGAAGGTATGAATAAAACTTTTTTAGTTTCTTATAACTACTTTATGAAAGTTATACTAATCTTCTACTTACAGGTTCGTGTCAGGCATATGGTTGTGAAGCCATATGAAGATATATATCCTAAGTGGGACGATAATAAAGTGTTTACTGAACTGGATAACATGATTCAAGACATCCTCAGTGGCCTGCTTGATGAAAACTTTTGGGAAGCAAGGGGTGATTCCAAGTCCAGAAAGAGAAACATTCATGTGAGCCCACCTGTGGTTCCAGCTACTGATGATGTGAGTCGTTCTACTAAGCGAAAGAAGGACAAAGAACATGTCGATGGCTGTCACGCATCAGAGATGGTATGTCCTTGGCAGTTGTTTGAATAATTATCAAAACATGTTAATTCTTTTGTGTCTGAGTTGTGCTTATGGTCTGTGATTTCTTTGTAGGTTGTAGCTCACAACATCGCTATACTTGGGTTGGTTGAGTCGGTTAAGAACCTGACTGGAAAAATAGATGGAATTGATGTTAGTGTCGCTGACAAGGTCACTGCAAAACTAGACGCGGCCATACAAGATAAAGTGGATGCTAGGATTCGTTTATATGAGATTGAAGTGATGAAGAAGTTTGCCATTTTAGAGGAAGACGTAAAGAATATTAAAGAAAAGCGTGGTGTAAACATTCCTACTGAGGTGGCTAACTCCAATGATGGAAAGTCCATTGCGCAAGAAGAGGATGACGGTTCTAGCAATGCTTTAGTATGTTTTCTTTCTTCAGTCTTGTTAATTATTTTGTTAATGATACTAACATTTTCATTTGATTATACAGTCATGGATGCTTCAGAATAAGACCAATTCACAAGATGGTTTACAGTTCAGTGTGTTGTTAAGAAGGAGAAAAAAGAAAAGAAGACAACTAAGAAGGAGCGTCTTAAGAATAAGGAGGTGAAAAGGAAAGAGAAGAAAGTTGAAATGCCACTTAAAAAAGTTAAGGTAGAGAAGGCCTTCAAGATCCCAGAACTTAATGACGAGTCCATTTCGACAAAAGGTTGGGAAAATCATCTAATGTGGCAAAAGAGTGCGAAGTGTAAGGAGGTGTTGAAAGCACTTGCTTCAACTTTCTTGGAGCCTACACGTAGGCGTAAAACGCAGTTGACGAAGACTCAAAAGCCACCATTTCTAGGGAGTTCAACAGTCAAGCGTATCATAACTGCTGAAAATGAGGTGAATGAAGCTTATGACCCATTAGCTAAGGTGGAGGCTGAGAAATTGCAGAAATTTTTGGATTTCATCAACTCCGATTTGTAAGTTTCATGTCTTCCATTTTAACTTTTTCCATTAGCTAAAGTGGTCTAATATGCGAAACACCGGTGTAGGAAAAAGGGGCGTCTGGTCATGGAGACGCAAATGCTGGTTTTTTCTTGAAATTGATGTTACCGAGAGATGATTGGCCAACAAAAACCTATGGCTGGCTGCATGATTCTGTAAGTTTATTTCCTGCTTTTTTATGTGAATATTATAAACATTCCATCCTTACTGATTGTGAGTTGTTCTATGTTGTAGCACATTGCAGCAGCAATGCTTATGTTTCACCGACGTTCCATGCAATCGAAGTCTCCATACTTCTCCCCTAGAATTGCATTTTTGTCTCGCTGGTTTGTTAACGCATGGGTGCACAACTACAAGAAGTGGAACGAGGACACGAATGATTTGTTGGACATGTACTGCAAAGCTTTTAATGGAGAACATCCAGCTGATTTTGTCACGGGTAAGAAGTGGGTTATAGATGTCGACCATCTTTTCATCTGCCATCATGTTAATGGAGACCATTGGGTTGCGTTACACATTGATTTGTCTAAGGGCATACTACATGTGTATGATAGTATTCCTACAGTGCTGAATGAGAAGCAGATGATAGAGGCATGTCGGCCTTTCATGAGGATGGTACCAGCAGTGCTTAACAAGATGATGCCTCCTGAATTGAGAAAGAAAAGTGAGAAACAGTTAATCTTTCGGAGGCACAGGAAGATCCCTCAAAATAAGGACCCGAGAGATTGTGGTGTGTACTCATTGAAGTATATTGAATGTCTCGCGCTTGGACGTCAATTTGATGGGTTGAACGATCAGGTTATTTTACCACTACGACTGAAGTTGGCTGCTGATATTTTCGAAGAGGTAATTGAGGCAGATGTATGACTTGCTGGTTTCTGCCTTTAGATGGATGTATAATTAAGCAGGTTCTGGTTTATGAATGATGGTTTTAACGGATGTACTTGCTTTTTCTGCTTTTAGATGGATGTATAACTCGCTGGTTTTTGGTTTTAATGGATGTACTTACTTTTTTTTTTGCCTTTAGATTGACGGATATTGACGAATGTATAATTTAGCAGGTTCTGGTTTATGAATGATGGATGTATAATTAAGCAGGTTCTGGTTTATGAATGATGGATGTATAATTAAGCAGGTTTTATTGATGTTTTATGTTAGATGTCGACCATCATGTTAATTTCTTGATTGCAACCAAATAAAACACCACCAACAGGAACAAGCTAAAACATACCAACTAAATAACTGCTTGTCATTGTAATGGTCTGGGAACAAAAAAAAACTAAAACTGCTTGTCATTGTAATGGTCTGGGAACAAAAAATAACTAAAACATACCAAAATGAAATTTAATAACCACCAAATCCTCAAAGTAAATCAAATGCTCATCACTTAAGAGGACATGTAGTAGAATTGTGTCCCACTTGGTTACAAATTCTACATGTGTGCTCCTTCCTTGGTCGCTTCTTATCTGCAACTTTCTCCAAAAATCGATTTATATCTTGATTTTTTTGGTCTTCCTGGTGGTTGGCAGACATCAGGTGGTAAACAGATTCTAGTCGCAATATTTTCTGGAATTGGAACAAAATCATCTTTGGGCATGACAGCAGTGAAATATGCATTGTAAAGGTGCTGCTTGCGATAGTAATGGTGGCAAAGTGATATACGAGAAATCTTTCTAGCTTCCCCAGCAGCTATAGCATGAGCACATGGTAACTTCTCCAGGTCAAATCTTCGGCAAGAACAGGTCTTCTCGGTCAAATTAACAACATGTAAAGACGATACTCCAGTCACTTGTGATTGGTGCAAGTATATTGCTTGAACCTTTAGTAGATTCGCAATAGGTATCCGGCCCTGCGAATATTAATGCTTAGTATAACAGCAAACAATTAAGGAAACACATAACCTGATTCAAAATATATTACCTCTAAAACCTTCTCTACACCACGAGTAAGAGAGGTTTTCATCAACTCAGGGTCATGTTTCCTTGTTGTAAACCACCGTGTCATCATTAATCGTATTGACTCCAGAAGGTGAACAATTGGCAAGCTTCTAGCACCAGATAAAGCTCTGTTTATGGACTCAGCTATGTTACTGGTAAGAAGGTTATATCTATCACCTCTAAAGTGAGATCTTGCCCACTTATGTACATCAGCACGTTCCAAATATGCATGCAAATCTGGATTTAACTCTTTGATTTTCTCGAAGGTTGCTTGAAAATCAGTTAACCGAAAAGAGTAGGCGGCTTTTTTGACCAATCCGAACAAATCACGCCCTCGGTAGCGTAACAAGATGTTTTTATATAAGTGGTACGTGCAAATTCCCCTACTAGCCAATGGATAGACCACTGAAATAGCTTTCTCTATTGACTTGTGTCTGTCAGAGCGCCAGTCCTTGATCGTCAGGTATCACACAGATGAGTTGGCGGAAAAACCAAGTCCATGATTCATCATTCTCTGTGTCAACCACAGCAAACGCAATTGGAAAGATTTGAAAGTTACCATCTTGTGATGTTGCAATCAGAAGCGTTCCTTTGTATTTCCCTTGCAAAAACGTTCCATTAACCACCACAACCTTCCTCATAAATGGAAAACCAGTAATGCTAGCGCCGAATGCAAGGAATAAGTACTTAAATCTATTGTTTGCATCAACATCTAGTCGCGTGTAAGTTCCTGGATTTGACATTGTAATCATGTGGAGGTAAGTAGGTAATTCCTGGTATCCACTCTCTGGAGAACCCAGTACGAGATCTCTAGCAGCCATAAGTGTACGCCGAGCTTTCCAGTAATCCATCTACAATATACTAAACAACATTAATCCATTTAAACAACATATTTAAAGGTCAGAAAATAGAGTATATTTGATACGAAAAAGATAGTTGACCTTGGTTCCGAAGCTCAGTTTCATCAATAACATGACGTGGTAAAACAGACTGATCAACCCCACCAACATAGTCTTTGTACAACCGTCCTAGAATCTCAGGAGTAGCTTGTCGGGAACGAGATGAACGTTCTGTTACGGAGAAGGTATGTTCATTTACATATACTCGGATTGTAAACTTTGACGATTCACCAACTGGTGAAGCTCTAAGCTTCCACGTACAACCTTTTATCCAACATATTACACGAAACAGATCCCTTGTAGATTTATCCACATCAAAATCGAAACGTCGAACAACTGAATATATCTTTAGACGAGTCTCCAATACATCTTTCGAATCGTAACTCTGCCCCACTTCAAATTTGAATGACCGCAAATCCTCCAAACTCATTGGAGGCTCACTTTCTTCTGTCTTCTGGACTCTTGCATAAATCATGTTTGTACAAGATCCCTAAACCTCTTCTACATGGTCTGGGGGAAGCCCATATGTAGTAAAGTTTTCATCATCAGATGTTGCTCCGTCAGAATCATCGCAGTAATCAAAACGATCACCTTCTTCGTCCGTATCTTCTTCTTCTTCACCCAATGAGTCATCTCTCTGTATGGGTTGTTTCTGATCTTCGGAAGCTCCTTCCCCAGAAATTTTGTTTGCTTTAAACTCTACACACAGACGAAGGTTATCAATTTTGCAGAGATCCAAGAATATATGAAACTGCCTATCGTTTCCTATCTTGACAGGTGCATCCATGCTTTGACTGTGTGCATTTCGCTTTGGAAATAAATACCTCAGTTCCAAGTAGTTTTGTGCAAAATCAACTCCGTAATCCTCAAATATGGCTTTCACAAAATCTTCAAATTTAGTCTCCTCATTCGCAGCAACTAATATGCTACCTCTCTCATTATCTACTTCAAAGGACCACTTAGTTTTCTCAACTTTCCAGTTTCCAGAGATGAGAATTATGTGATTCATATCTGCTATGAATTAAAATCACCTGTCGTTAATCACCATGAAACTGTCTCACGTATTCTTGTGTGAGAGGCAATAGGTAGAAGACGACAAAAAAAGGGTAAGCCCTAATTGTTTAAAAATTGTTAAACCGAAAAATTAAATTGATTTAAACCAAATTAAAATTAATTAAAACCAAAATTAATCTAAACCGGACCCAATGCAAAATAAACCAAAATCTGTGAGAAATTAACCAGAAATTCGAGTGGTTATATCTGGTATAATTAGTGTGGCCCAATCTAGTAATTATATTTAAATTTACAAGTCTGCCATCAAAAACATAAATTTTAAAAGTCTGCCACCATACGAATACAAAAATCGACGAAAGAACTAAATCGGTTAAACAAATCTGCTGGTGATTTTAAATCGGTCTTAAAAATCTAACTGATCCAAAATAAACTTGGAAATTTTAAAAAATCAGTTACGTCATCTGAGAGACTAAAACATATAAATCTGCTGACGACCATAAATCGGCCAGCTAAATCAGCCACCTCAAATAAATCTGCCGTGACTCTAAAGTCTGCTACCAAATACTTGGCAAATTTAAATTTAACAGCAGTTTTAAATAGCAGATTTATATATCGGCAGATTTATTTTTTCGTAAACAAATCTGTGGACGTCAATTTTTCCAAAAATTCTACTGGTCCTTTCGTAATATTACATTTTCTTCCGAACTGTTTGAAAGGGCAGTTTCGACATTAAAAAAAAGTTAGTAATTTTAAAAAATTATGAGTTATTCTAGTAATTACTAGATTTATTTGAGTTATTTGAGTAAACTTTCCTAATCTATAATATCACTAATTAGTATAATTTATCTTCAACTATCTTCTATTTGACTTAATCGTATCCCTCTTTGTGACTAAAATATGTTTTGTCGAATGTTTACTCACCCACAAAACCATATTTACAATTAAGTGTTATTTTCTTTTACAAGAAACAAAAATTATCCATTTAATATGTAGACGTACACTTTACTCAAAACAATCTATCTGATCACGCTGCCTTTATTATCCAAAAAATCATACTGAATTAGCATACGAACATATACATATTATACATAAAGATATTAATCCATACAAAAAGCAAACCTTTCCCTTCAATCTAAAGCCTTCATCGAGCTAAAGAAAAGTTCATTCTCATTATCAACTTAATTGATGTCTTCCCCTTCACATGTTCTTCTCATTTTCTCTCAACAACAACACACACGAGAACAATAACTCAATCAAGATCGAAAATGGCAACAACAACCAAATTCTATTTTCCCTCTCTTCCACTAATAGTAACCATATTATTAATCTCATTCCTTCCTTCTCATCTAAAATGTTCCCCCTCAACTAGTAGTACTACTCAAGAAACTTTCAAGGAATCTTCAAAGCTTCTCGATCTCCTCCTAAGAGATTACACTCTAAACTCTTTCAAGAATCAACATAACTCAATCAAGACCGGCGTTGTTCGGCATATTCATCTCCCGTCTAACTACTCCGGCATAAATCTTGACGCTGTTAGGTTCCGGTGTGGGAGTCTCCGGCGATATGGAGCTCAACTCCAAGAATTCCATATCGGCGTTGGAGCGGTTCTTGAACCGTGTGGTGAACGTCTTGTGGTCGTGAGACAAATCTTGGGATCAAACTGGTCTGATATATATTACAAGAACTATGATCTCTCGGGTTATAGACTTGTCTCTCCGGTTCTAGGGCTCTTAGCTTATAATGCTTTAAACGACGTTGTTTTGGGTAATAATTTCAGCAGCTCTTATCAAATAAGTCTTCTCCTAGACGATGCTAAAGATCCGTCAACCGTTGATTTCGGAAACATTTCTGGACCGTCGATGGTAGAGCGAACGTTCTTGAATAAGCCAATGTGTGTGACTTTCGGACTAGACGGCAAAGTAACGTTTGCCGGAGAACTGAAGCCGTATGTCTGCGCCGTTAAAACTAACGGACATTTTGGTTTAGTGGTGACGGATGATCAGGATTCGTCCAAATCGGACGGTGGAGGAGAAAAGGAGATGAACAAGGAGAAGATTGGACGGTGGAGATCGGTTGTTGGAGGGCTGGTTGGATCTGTGACGGTGGGGGTGGTGCTTTTAGGGCTTGTGGTGGCGGCGGCAGTTGTGACTGCGAAGAAGCGGAGGAGAAGGGCAAAAAGGGAAGAGATGGAGAGAAAAGCTTATGAAGAAGAAGCTCTAAGAGTAGTGACAATGGTGGGGCATTCTAGAGTTTTAGTTGCTTCTGCTACAAGGACTTTGCCTGGTTTCATGGAACATGAGTGTGTTCCTAATTAATTAGTTTAACTAGGTAGTTTGCCCGCACTTGCGGGCTTAATAATTTTACTAATATCTATAAATAAATATATAATCAATTTATGTAAATTATAATAAATTATTGTTCATAGACTCAAAATATTTAATCAAAAACTAAACATATTCTTTCTATATATAAAATCTTTCATCATCATATAAATAATTTTCATTACATAACTTATATTTTAAAATACTCATAAACTTAAAATATTTAGTAATAAATTAATATCATTTTTAGACATAACAAAAAAATGTATAAAAAAATATATTTAATAATGTTTTGGATAACACAATATAAATTATCTATACATAATATTTTTTGTGAATTGATTTTTCATAATTAACTATATTAACAAATAGAATTATTTTTCAACGTTAATAAAGACTTTATAACACAATATAAAAAAGTTTGATAAGGATAATTATCAAATTCATGACATTCATTTTTTAATTAAGAATTAATTATATATTAATAAATATAATTATTTTTCAAGGTTGATAAAGACTTTATCACATAATATAAAAAATTTAAAATAAGGATAATTATCAAATAAATAAAATTCGTTTTTAATTTATAATTAATTATATATTAACCAATATAATTATTTTTCAAGGTTAATATAGACTTTATAACCCAATATAAAAGAGTTTTGNGGATAATTATCAAATAAATAAAATTCGTTTTTAATTTATAATTAATTATATATTAACCAATATAATTATTTTTCAAGGTTAATATAGACTTTATAACCCAATATAAAAGAGTTTTGGATAAAGATAAATCTAAAATCATTGAAATTCGTTTTTCTTATTTTTGATTTTTTTATAAATTTATTATATTAATTATTCTCAGGTATCTAAGATAATAACATACTAATCTAATTTTATTTTTAAATTTTCGTTTTTAATTATAAAATTAGTTATATATAAAAAATTCATTAAGGGTAAAATAGATATTAACCGCTCTAACTTTTAACGTGAGAGCTCCGTTGCGAAAAATCACTTCGCAAATAATAGTATAGATTTCGTCATTTGGGCTTTTTTCCTTTTTCCTGCAAACAGGTTTTATTTAAATATATAAGATGTTGGGAGTTATGGAACATATACGGTATTTAGTTAATTACTCTTTTTTCTAATATACTCCCTCCGTTTTGGTTGTTGTAGAAGATTTTTTTGTTACAAAATAAGTATTTATTCGATTTTTAGTGTAAAATTTATTAATTTTATACTATAATTTATATTTCTACTGGTTGAGATATAGTTAATTATATAAGTAATTATGTTTTTATATAAAAATATACAAAATTAATTATTTTCTTAATCCATGTGGATAAAGATAACAATGGCACTTAATATGAAACATAGGGAATATTCAGTATATAGTTAGTTACAACTTACAAGTCATGATAGTGAAATTATAAGGTAATATTGTTAATTAGTGTAATCTATAAACTGGAAATACAATAAAAGCTCTATAAATTAATAATGTTTGGAACATAGTATTTTATTAACTTATATAACGTATTCTTTCAGTCTTTAATTTTATTTATAATAACTTTTATAAAATAAAAAATAGTTAGTTTTCCATATATACATTAACTACACTTTAAAAATTCAACTTTCAATTGTTTTATATAAAATAGAAATATTAGAAAAATACATTTATATGAGATTATATTCTGAAAACTACACTATTTTCTATTCTTAAAAACTACACTTATTCAGAAATAAAATAACTAAATTTTCCAAGATTAATGTTTATATTATTTAATATCTGACTTGATATTTTAATTTAAACGGAAAATATGTGTTTAAGAATTAAGAAAAAATTACCAACAATCATACTTATTTTTTAAATTTAATACTCCCTCTGTTTAATTTTAAATGTTGCTGAAAACTTTAAAGTTTGTTTCATTATAAGTATTATTTTATATTTTTAATGCATATGTTTGATAGATTTTCCATTAATACATCTATCTTTTAGCTTATTAATTAACAAAATCAAATAACAAAAGTAATTTTCTCGAATAACAATTTTAAGTTTTTTCACCAAAAGTCAAAAAAACATCCAAAGAGAAAAATGACCAAATAGATTTCATTAAATAGGCAAAAGAATCTTCTACCTTTGCTTTATATATATATATATACATATATATATATATATATTATTTAAATTTAAACAAAAAAAAAACTAAATAGTTTTCAAATTTTATATTTTCAAATTCAAAACTTTTTATGTATTTTTAGAAATTACTTTTATATTTTTCAAATTAACTTTTATGAAATTCGAAAATAATTTTTGAAACTATTTATTAGAAATATGTTAAAATTTATATATTTACTTTTAAAATTCTAAATTCCACCCTTCAAAACTGAACCCTAAATTTAGTTTAGTTAACCATAAGGATAAATGTATATTTACTCTTTAATGAAACTTATTTTGGTCATTATTCTCTTTTTGGGCTCTTTTACTAAAAAAGTCTAAAAAGACTATCTTATAGAATTTCTGAATAAAAATGTATTAAATAAAAGTATTTAAAAAAATTGATAGTTTTTTTAATAAATGTGAAAAAATATTTAAGAGACTGTCTAAAATAAAATGGAGAGAGTATAAAATAGAAAACTAGCTCTGCTTACTACTTCCTAGTCAACCAGATCCTTATTCTTAGCATGGATACTTATCGTAACATGGGGCTATGACATACACATGCAACAATCCATACAAACTGCTATTCTTTGATAAGAAAAACAATCCAGACAATTTAGTTTAGAATCAAAGAGTGTGTTAATGTATTTCTCCTCTCTTTATTACAATTTTTTTCTTTACTAAAATTTTCTGCTAGAAAAAATGATATTCTGTGAACTTTGTTCGCATGGAGAGGAACTCTTGCAAATAATTTGACGTATTTTTACCATTCTTAGAATGTTTGAATGTTTTTATGATGTCAGAATCATGAACGACCAAAACAAAAAGATTCATTCTTTTCTTTTTTTTGTAAACTAAAAAAAAAAACATTTTTATGAAATCTGTTTTGGTCATTTCTCTATTTATTTGTTTTTTTTGGTTCAAAAATTTTTTTATATAACTAAAACAACAAACTACTGTTTGTTGGGCAAATCTATAAAAAGAATCTAAAAACATTTTTTTAGACAAAAAAACATATAATGAAAGAAATGACCAAAACAGATTTCATTCATTTTTTCTTTTCTACCAAGAAAACACTATGGTAACATCTTACAAAAAACAACTCTCTTTTCTACGAAAGAAATGGTAACAATTTCAGGAAGAAGTAACCAACAAAGATACAAAAATCCTTACAAAACTATAATCATGAAAAATAATTGAGAATTAAAATTTCTAATAATTTTGATGATAATCAAATTTTTAAAATAATTACAAAAATTAGTTTTTTTAATCAAAACTAGGATACATTGTATTCTTATATAAAAAAAGTGTTGTTTTCAAAAAGAAAAATAGATGTATTTACCAATTCTAAATCATAATAGAGTATTTCAAAAGACCCTATAAATATGTTTGATAGAATTTAGATATAATTTTACTAAATATTATCAAAACAAGCCATTAAACTTATCAGTTCTCTGATTAACCACAACATATAAAATGAACTTCAATTGGTTTTAAAAATGCGTTTTTCTTAATTCTTAACTTACAAATTACAGTCTATGGTTAATTTCTCTTGTTACATTCATAGACGCTATACCCACTGTACTTCAATGGTGTTTTCAGTTTACATTTTGTTGTTAAAACTATTTTTACAGTCGAAAAAAATTAGAACATAAGCACGTTTACCTTTAATCAGAATTTGTTCCTTATATACTACCATGTATGCGTATTCTATCTTCCTCTTTTCTCCTTTTTAGCCAGATCTTGTTTTCAATCTCGTTACACTGGTTGAATTAATCTCCAGTAATTAAGAGTCATAGAATCATTGGAGGATTCAGTCTTATGGAACTTGGCACTGACTCTTATATACAGCCCCAAGTTTGTATTATGGTATTGAAATTAAAAAGGAGTGTATAATTAGTTTTTTCCTAATCTAGTTTCCATTGATCTAGACTTTGTTGCCATTCGTTTTACTGAGTTTTAGAAATATATAGGAACATGAAAAAAAAATTTATGGACGAAGAGGGACGGTTGTGAGAAATGGAATACGTGGAATTCAGTTTTTTGTTGCATTTTATTTTTAATTAATTTTGTAAATATAGATTACGTGGCAGAATTTGATTGGTAAGACGACTTGCAATTTAGTATATAAAGTATATATTGAAGTGATAAAGAAAAATAGAAATACCTCTACCATGAACATAAAAGAAACAAGAGAACGACTCTAATATAACATTAAATTTTTTTTTATCATCTTTTTTTTGCTATCATCTTCAAATATTAAACTAACCAAAATATGTTTTATTAAAGAGCTAAAAGACATCTATACTTCTATGTTTAACAAATACTAGGATTCTGTCCGCGTTAAAACGCAGATTTACTTTCAAAATCAGTAAAATAAATATTTTGTTTGATTAAGCTATTACATAGTATTTGGTTAGTTGAATTTTTGTTGTAAATGTGAGTTTGTGTTTTTTTTTTTGCAATGTGAGTTTGTGTTGTAAATAGGAAAGAAAACTAAGTTAACTTATTTTATATTGATGATGTAGATAGTCAGTCATACTGTATGTGATTTTTGAACCAGCAATGTTTGGCAAGTTATGTTAAGTTTTTATGATTGTCTACAAATTACAGCATGTTGTGTAGAGATAAATTTGACTAACACACATACATGGATATAACGATCCAGGATAATAAAGAAAACACAAAAAGCTCACATGGTGGAATAATCAATCAAAATGACACGAAACTAAGTTTATTATAGAGTTTTATAACGTTTATTCCCAGTATATGATAAATTATTTACTACAAAGTTTGTTCAGGTTTTTATATAGAGCGACCAAACAATGAACCAAACAAACAATACCGGACGAGACAATTGCACATGCAATTTTCCAATGCCCACCGGCTGTACAGGTATGGGCCTTATCATCTATACCCTCCAACCCGGCATTGTTCCCCTTGGAAAGCACATATGTGAATATGGACTATCTATTCTGG